TCGCTTGGGGGCGAGTGCTGGGGCGTACGTACACCTGGCTGGGGGGGGGCCCCCGCGCTCTTGTTCAGAGAAGAAGAGAGGGGGGGCCCCCCTGGAGAAATATTGCAAGTGTCGAGCATAGTAGGAGTTGCAGAAAGGGTGTTTGCTGCGTCGATTGGGACTCCGGGGCACAAGGGGGGCCCCTGGGGGCCCTCAGGGCTTCTAAAGGGGCCCCGAAGGGTCCAAATGGACTTCTTGTTGGCCCTGAGCTTGAGGCAAATAAAATTAGCTCGGGGAAGACGGGGGGGGGCGGGGGGCCGGGCCAGTGCAGCCAAGGCGGCCCAGCGAGCCGCGCTGCTGGCGGGAAACACAAACAAAAGACATTAATTGGTTTGCATGCATTTAAATTTGCAATTTAATTCAACAGGAAATTATATTTGGAGCGTTTTGAGCGGAAATAGACACAGGCGAGGCGAGGGATCGTCGCAGCTGCTGCGGTTACCTGCGAGCGGCGGCTGCGCTCTTTCGCCCACGCAGGCAAGACACGGGCCTGTCTGTGGCGAAGAACAAAGATAACCAAGCTCGAAATAAAGATAAAATTCAAACAAAAAGGCTAAGAGGAAAGCTGAAGTGAGTATTGCATTGAAGGGTACGCACACCCAGCTGCGCGCAGCGGCAACCGAACCAGCAGCGGCGCAGCCCAGCCTCTGCAGGGGGGAACAAGCCACAAATTTGCATCGGTTTGGTCTTCCTAAACAAGGAAATACTCAAATTGATCTTATTGTTGCATAAAATAAATGTTAACTGCGAGAATTTCGCCGGAAAGGGGTCTTCACAGGGTCGGCGGTCGGGCCTGCGTTCGCCTGCTGGGGCGCTGCTCAGTGGACGGACGCAGCTCGCGAGGCAGGGCGAGAATCTGAAGAGTAGAACGTCCATTTAAAATGAACTAAATACAATTACAAATTCGAAATTTGATTGTTTCAAATTGCCATTAAAAGGAAGCGTACGTACGCTGCTCACTGCGGCATCTGGTGTGTGCATCTGTCGACACAACAGCCGGCGACTTCATCCCCGTTCGCCGCTTTCCCCGCGGCTTCCTCCTTAATTTCTTTCAATTTATTCTATGGAAAGCTTTAATTCTAAGTTTCAAAGAAGAAGAGACAAAAGACAAGGAGAATGACGAGCAGTGACGGCGATTCAGCCCGGCTGCAGCAGCTACGCGGAAGCCGCTGCATCCTTTCAACAGCTGCACCACCAACGCCGCAGATGCTTCTTCCCAAAGGTTAATTTACTTTTATAATAACAAAATTTTGAAGTTTAGGGCTTAGGATTAGGGATTTAGTGGCAAGGGCTAGGAGTGTAGGGCCAAAGTTTGCGGGTCTTCTGCAGCGCCCAGAGTTTCTGCATAAATTCAACTTTAGCGGCTAGGACTTTCCTGTTCGTTTTCTACTTACAAATTCGAATACCTAGAGGTGCTTTATGTGGTGAGACACAGGTTTTCTGTTCAAAAAGCCGAGCAACTCTGCAGAATTTGGCGAAACAATTCAAATGGAGTTCTCAAAAAAAGCAAAGAAGAATGTATATTGGCTATTTGCCATAGGCAAAGCCACACTTTTCTATGTAGTGCCTAGCTAAATGCCATTTCGAGCACAGCAGCAAAGAAACTAAAACACAGATAAACGCTTTTATCTTATTTTCCCTCAGAGAGGCTTATTTGAAGGATATTAGAAGTTGAAAAGCTGCAAAAGTGAATTTAAAAAGTAAAAGTTGTCCCATCTGCAAGTTGAATGCATTTCAATCTTGGCCAGAGCTGCGTAACCTGAACGAATTCGCGAATCGCAAAAAGTGGTATCAAACGATTGTTCTTGGCGATTAATTTGCAACAAACTATTTTCAGTAATTCAGATTATTACATTTCTGGTGCTGCTGCTGCTGCTGGTAACTTGCTTGTCTAGTTGGAGGAAAGGGGGGTTTCTCAGGACCTTCCATTGGACACAAGATCAGCGCAGTTTACTCCGAATGAGCATTTGCAAACTAAACTTCAAAATAATTTAAGTAAAAGTCTGCATAAATGCAGTGCAATGAACTTGCAGAGGCTATCCAAGTACTGCAGCGAGGATCCCTTTTGCTGGTGACTTTGATGCTGTGTGCAGATCGCAGTGACAAGTTCTGCAAGCAGCTCGTTTCTTTGCATTTTATTTACTCTCACCTTACTCTCATCTTATTTTAATCTTCACCATTTTATCTCTTTAATGCAAAAGATAAAACTGTGCAGATTGCTGCGGGTTCAGCCGATTTGGAATTACTACTGAGCCTGTAGTCATAGCAGATGCTAGCACATTGTAAAAGGAATTCATCAAACTTCGAAAACAAAAGAAGGAAGAATACCAGGAACTTAAAAGCTAATACCGGGTGATATGTTAAGCACTTTTAAATGGAAATCTTGGCTGTGTTCCACATGAAAACAGAAAGCTGCATGCGCAAAGGTTACAAATCTTTCTGCATAGCAATGGCAGTTCAGCGATCTGCGCTGACTCCATCAGATAAAACCAAAAGGTCCATTAGTTTCACGAAGCTTTGACAGTAAATCACGAGAACTATAACTGGAAAGCTGTTTCCCAGTGCTTTATTCTCTATAGTTATCAGATTCAGCGGTTCAAGACTAACAACTGGCTTCAGTCTGCAGTGCCTCTGTTAATCTAAAATCTAAAAACTGCATTTAAGAGAATATCCTCCGTTATTGAAAATCCAAGAGCTTAAAATAATTCAACTTCACTGCCTCATCCGCAGTTACATTGTGCTTGAATGGAACCCATCTCCTTGGCATTTAGAAACGTCGGTAGATGTCACTCTGCGTCAAGATCATCTCTATTGAGTTGTTTTAATTAAATATATTTCTTTTCTTTGCATTAATCCCGAATTATCTGTGCTGTGTGCACGCAGACTAGCGCATGCGTGGAAAGTCTGAATGTTCGGGGTATAATGGCCTACGGAAACCTTTGCAAAACACCAATATTCCTTGAAATGGGGAGAAGGACTTTGTTTTGAAATAAATACTTTGAAACAGGAAGAAGACCTTTATTTTGAAATAAAAGATATTTCACTGTTTGATATGTTGAGGGGCGAAACACGGTAATAGAGTGAAGTGGCAAGAAACCTGACAGGTCACGCGTTGCTGCAATATACTCACACAAGAACACTTTTGGAAGGCTCGAGTGAAATCTACTGCAGCAAGTAATCCTGAGTAGTTTTCGTTTTATTTCCAGAACTAAAATGATGGAAAAGCTAGCCGAGGATACTCCCAGGCAATATCATGCTGCGGAGTTGTTTGCAAGTTCCCTTGAAGCACTTTCAAGGGAATTTGAAATGGCCACTTCCAGAATAATCAAGTTTGAGTCATGAGAGGAAATAATAGAGATATTGAGTGGCTTTTAATGCGCAGTGAAGGCCTTGGATCAGAAAAGTGGACAGAAATGCCCGCGAAGCAGATGTTGCCAACTCCTTGCATTCGCCGAGAAAATTGAAAGAGGCTAAGCTTTCTAATAGGGCAAAATTGGCTTTTAATCAGCTTAAGAACATGAATTTATCGGGCTAGAAAGAGAGGTAGCTGAAAAGAAAAGATAAACAGATTTGCAGCAAGACACTATTCTGCCTCTGTTCCACAGAGGCTCTTTTCCTTTTCTCGGAACAGGAAAGAGAGCCCGTGAAACCCACAAAGCTGAGTAAAACACCAGTTAGCCCTTTTAATGTTTTATAAATAAATTGCTTTTAGCATATAACTGGGAACTATTGCTGGCGGGAAGCGCCCAGCGTTCAGGAAAGCCGCTATAGGCGCTGGGCTTCACCCTGCGGGCACCATTTAGAAGAAGTTTCACGACTAACATCTCCTCTTTTGTTTTCATATCTCTTTTCTGCATATCTGTATTTATAAATTGCGGTGTACGTATGCCTGGAGGCCCGTTAATGGCCCATTGGAGGTTTCCGGGTGAAATGGAAAACTGCTCAACAGCCTGGCGGTGCTTCACTTATCTTTCTGTCTCGATGCATTTCATAAATGACACTTTGTTCGAAACATTTGTCTCGTCTTTCGCAAACTCGGAAAGAAAACAACAAATGGGTACCTTCCCTCTTTAGAAATAGCCAGCAACCCCACCGATCAGAACAGAACAGAACATTTGAATATTCTGTGAAAGCGGGTCACTGACAACAACTTCCGGTGCCTGCGAAGTGGAATGGCGCTCCTAAAGACCCACCCAAATCTTGATTTATTATTTGAAACGCTTTTTTGCAAAAATAAAAAGTAGAAAAGGCTTCAACGGGGGCTTCAGGTAACCCCCCAACTGCTGGGTTCCTCAGCTGCACACCCCTCGGGTAGCCTTACGTACTAGTTGGCACATTTCTGGGAATGCATCCTTCCAATTAATCGATCATTGCTTTTGTTTTCTTTTTGTCAACAAAAAAATCAACTACGTTCCGTATTCCTCGGCTCTTTACGCAATCAGCTGCGCGAGCCACTGCGCTGCTGCGGAAAACGGGTGGAAGGATCCTGGCAGTGCACCCACTGGTTCTTTTGCATAATTCCAAAAAGTATATCCAAAAATAAAGTAAATTAAATAATTAAAAATAAATTAAATTGTATATAAATTTTTACTACTGCACACACAGCATAACACGCGACACACACAGGTTTGCGATCACTTGAGTTCGCTTGAAGACAGGGTTATAAAAGCAGGAAGAAGCAAACAAATGCAGCAAAATATCAAATAAAATAATAAAAGTATAAGTGGAATAAAGCAAATAAACAATTCGGAAAGTTGTTCATCAAAAAAAGCGGGATATGGCAAATGAATGGACACGAGGAAACACGAATGGAAGGAAAGGTGCTGCAGACAGAAGCAAAATTTAACAAATTTGATTATTGGCGAAAGTTTGAAAACTTTTATTATTTACAATTTTTAATAAAATTTAGTAGCTAGATGTATAAAGGTATTGATCTCCGTCTTGGTATTGATCTCTGTCTAAAAAGCTACATGCAAAATAGTAGCTAGCAGCTGCAGCTAGCTGCCGCTGCACTAGCTGCAACAGCAGCTGCAGCAGCAGCTGCTGTTGCAGCCAGCAGCAGCAGCTGCAGCTGCTGTTGCAGCCAGCAGCAGCAGCTGCAGCAGCTGCTTCTGCAGCAGCAGCTGCTGCTGCAGCTGCTGTTGCAGCTTCTGCAGCAGCTGCTGCTGCAGCAGCTGCTGGGGATGTAATTCCAGCAGAAGTAGCTACACACGCAGCAGCAGCAAATGCAGCGGTGGCAGCGACAAGTGCTGCAGCAGCATTAGCACAGCCCGCAGCAGCAGCAAAACAGCGGGCAGCAGCAGCAAAATAGCCCGCAGCAGCAGCAAGAAATAAACAATCAAAATGGTGTTATTAGAAAAGAGACGAAAAGATTTAGAAAGTGGAACTTTAAAAACTTTGAAAGCAGAAGTAGCAACAGCAGCTAGAAGCAGCAAAACTCCAGATGCCAAAAGAAAAGTTTTGTTTTTTTTTAATTTCAAAAAATGGAAATTTGTTTTCAAAAATAAATAAATAAAAATCTGACAGAACAGTAAATCATTCCATACTCTCTACAGGAGAAAAATAAAAATTAAGAATTACAAAAGGATTTAAACGAAAAAAAATAAAAATAAAAATAAAATAATTTGAAGTTTCATGCCACTGAGACACAATGGTCTTAGGCAAGTTTCATTTAATGCGAAATGCATTATTGGTAAATAAATAAAAAATAAAAAGTAAAAAATAAATAAAAAATAAAAAATAAAACAAAATGAAAAAGCTGACAAAAGTTTGAAGAGTTTGCCACTTAAAAGAAAGAGAAAGAGACAAGAAGGCAACAGAAGCATTTTTTTGAAAGTGCAGAAATTAATTAATTTGGAAATAAACGTTTTTGTTTTTGCGAAGTTTAAATAATTAATAAAAAGGTATTCTGCATTAGCATTAAAAATATTATTGTTCATTAAATGAGTTATTTATTGAGTTCGAATTACTTTTGGCCAATTGAGCTGGGATAAGAAAGTGAAGTGTTTATATTTAGGGAAGAAGAAAAATAAAGAATAAAAGAGTATTACTGGTATTAGTTAAAGTAACAGGCTAGCACAAACCATTAATTAAAATAACAGACTAGCATTAATTAAAGTAACAAGACTCGCATATGCCATTAATTAAAGTAACAAGACTGGCAGATGCTACTAATTAAAGTAACAGACTAGCATATGCCATTAGTTAAAGTAACAGACTAGCATATGCCATTAATTTAATTAAAGTAACAGACTAGCGTATGCCATTATGGCTAGAAGTTTGGCTAAATAGCTTGAGGAAAACAAACAGAATATTTGAATAAACATTTTGATTCAAGAAAGCTGAAGTGCATATTTGAGGGGAAACTTTCCAGAAAGCTAGAGCTGGAAATCCCGAAATGCGGAACTCCTGCAAAAGAGGCTTCCGTGCAATTTGGTGTTCTGCATGAATTAATTTATTGTCTTTTTCTCTTTTAAATGTTTATTATATTTTAAAATTTAAATATTTAAAACTGAAGAACCGAACATTTACTCGGCTGGCACTCAATGTGCTCACAGCCAAGCCGGCTGTTTAGGTCTGAAGGGAGGCCTCGTCGCTATTTTTGGGCAACAGTTAATTCAATTTTTATTTATTCATTAAATTAATCTTTTAAATTTGAACATTTGATCAAAATTAGAAGGAAGAACTCTCGGATCGTTCTGTTGCAAACGCCTTCCGGGTTTCTCTACACCCCAGCCCGGGGCTGGAGAGGCGCTGGATTCGGCGGCGCATTTGGGTTAATTGAGCTCACTTTTTGTGTCTTAATATATATTTTACATTTTAATTTAATTTTGGATTAATTTAAGCGTCGCGAAATTCTGAAATTGAAATCCTAGCGAGGGGCTTTCGGTGCCCCGAAGCGGGCGCGGTGTACATACACCCTGGGCAGTTCCGGCGGCTCGGTGTTGTGTTGTTGCAATCCGGCGGCGCCTCCCTTATTTTTCTGTCTTTTGATCTTTCAACACAAAACAAATTGTTGTTTTGAATTAATGAAGAGAAATTTAACTCCGTAGCAGCACTTTTACCGTCGCTTTCGCAGCAGGAGAATCGAAGCTCGTCGGAATCGATGTCGATGAAGCCTGCAGCGCGTTCCTTGCTGGTCTTGCTGCTTCTTGCAGCAGCAGCAGCTTCTTTTGCTGCAGCAGCAGAAAATTCTGCTGCTGTTTCCGTTGGAACTCAAGTTGACATGAGATCTCAGGCTCTGCAGCAGCAGCAGCAGGAGCAGTCGCCGGTGCTTCTGTCGACTGCCGCTTCCGCCCCTGCAGCAGCAGCGACTGCAGCAGCAGCACCTGCTGCAGCAGCAACTGCAGCAGCAGCAGCAGAAGATGAAACCGTCTTGCTTGAAAAACAAGAAGAGCCGCAGCAGGAAAAGGCGCGGCGCGCAGCAGGCCCCCGCGTCGCTCTGGGGCTCGGAGTTCTTGCTGCTGCTGCGCTGCTGCTGCTGCTGCAGCTAAATGGCAAACTTCCCGAAATCCCGGATATTGTGAGAAGTTAAAAAGGAAATAAAAATATAAAATAAAACTTTTGAATCGCGAAGCTGTGCAGCAGCTGCGAGGTGTCTAGACACCCCGTGGCCTGGGTGCAGGGAAAGTTCAGTTTTTTGTTTTGCATTTTGTTTTTAAATTTTTTTCGGTTTTATTTTTTAATTATTTAATCAATTGAAGTCCATGCAGCTGCGTGTTTGCATTAGCTGCGAAAGCAACTTGTGCTGCGCCGAGTTTGCTTTGTTGTTTCATTTGTTTTATTCTTTTAATTTGTGCATTTCTTGCTGCTGCTGCTGCTGCTGTTGCTGCTGCTGCTGCAGTTTGGGGGCAGCAAAGACTGCGAAGGGGGAGTCTGCAAAACGGCGGAGTGAACTGAGGAAGGAAAAGTTGACTGGAGATTAATAGTTGAAGAGAGCTGCCAAACAAATTAAAAAACAAATAAATAAAAATAAATAATAAATAAATAAATATAGATAAATAAATAATTAGTTAGTTCTTTTCTTCCGCTGGCGGCGTGGAACAGAAGAAAACAATGGAGGCCCCAGGGCCTCTTTTTTGTTTTTCGTTTTGCTTCCGAGAGCTCCGAACTCTTTTTAAATAGTCTTTTTGAATAATTGGAATTTTAAATTATTTAATTATTAGTTGTTTATTATTATTAGTTGCTTAATTATTTAATTAGCGATTTAGCTGCTGCTGCTGCTGCAGTGGACACTCAGCTCAGCAGGCAGCTGCAAAACAATGGAGAGCACGTGCAGCAGCAGCTGCTCAGGCAGCAACTGCAGCCGCAGCAAGTGCGAGTAGAGAGGCCAGCAGCGCAGCAGGAAGGGGAGGAGCAGCAGCAGCAGCAGCACTGAGTTCTACAGGAGCCATTTTGGCTCCTGCTGCTGCTTTGACTTCGTGGTCAGCAACAGCTGTGGGCAAAAAGGCCTGGCCTTCGCCTTTGGCTTCAACTTGCTGCCGCTTCTGCAGCGCAGCAAAGAACGAGTCGCTGCAGCAGCAGCAGCAGCAGCAGCAGCAGCAGCAAAGGCACACGCAGAACTCGAGGCATTGTGCATGCATCTTCTTCTCTTTATTTCCATCTTTGTGCTTTATTTCAATTAATTCAAAAACGTTTCATCATTAGTTCGTTCTGAACTTTTAGAGGCGAAGTTGAGGGGATCGCCAGCGCAGGTGTACGTACACCTCAGAAGGCCGCATGCAATCTTGCCCGCAGCAGGGGATTCCCTCTCGCCACTTTTATTATTATTGTATGTTATCATCACTATTATTGTTATTATTATTATTACTTTTGTTATTATTATTATTATTACTATTATTACTATTACTATTATTATTATTACTAAATGTTATTATTATTACTTTTATTATTATTATTGTATGGGTCTACTTATAACAGTAACATAATTATATTGTGTGGATTTGTCTCACGAAACGACTTGGGAGCCTGGCTGCAGGGGGGGCGAATAGCTGCAGAAGAAAACGTCTTGGGGGCAGCCGGCGGTGGCGGCGCATCCCAAAAAGAGAACTTTTTCAGAAGTGATGAGAGCGAAGTTGTTGGCTGCGGAGGAGTGCCAGGGGCTGTGGGGCAGTTCGGGTGTATATACACCTGGCGGTGCGCGCTTCGCGGCTTTTCTGCAGCGCCACCCACCGCCAGAAAGCTCCCCGCATTCCCCACTTCATTTAAACCCTTTTTGCATCGCAATTGGACTCAAACTTCCACTTTTACTTCATTTTCTACTTTTCATGCAGCTTCCACTCACTCTAGTTCGCTCAGTCCGTCCAGAAACACGTAGCTGAGCCCGTCGCACCCCTCGCCGGTCTTGTGGGCCATGAGCTCGCTGCTCTGCAGCGCAGCAGCAGCAGCAGCAGCAGCAGCAGCGATGGAATTGGCAGCAAAGTGTGCGTTTTTTCTCGATTTTTTTCTGAGTTGAAAAGGAGCTGGCCAGCAGCTTTGGAAGCAGCAGCAGCAGCAGCAAAAAGTGCAAAAAAGCTGCTCTTTTTGCTTACTTTGTCCACTTTTGAAGCTTCCGAAACTGCGCATTTGCTGCTTATGTACTCCCGCGCTCTGCTGCGGGCCTTTTCAGCCAAAGAGTCGTCAGCAGCAACTGGCGCCGCCCAGGTGTCTAGACGGGCCGTTCGGATTTTGTTGTGCGCCAAAACGCAATCTGTTCATCAAAAAACACTTTTTTAATTCTCTTTTCTGCTTTTTATTCTCAATCAAATCCCATTCTTTTCTGCCTTTTTCTCATTTAAATCTCCTTCTTTTCTGCATTTTATTCACATTTAAATCCCATTCTTTTCTGCTTTCAATTCGCATTTGAATCCGCTTCTTTTCTCCATTTTATTTACATTTAAATCGCAATCTGTTCATCACAAAGCACTTTTCAAATTTCCATTCTTTTCTGCATTTTATTCTTTTTAAAATCCCTTTCTTTTGTGCATTTTATTCCCATTTAAATCCCATTCTTTTCTGCACTTTATTCACATTTAAATCCCCTCATTTTGTGCATTTCATCCTTTTTAAAATCCCTTTCTTTTCTGGATTTTATTTATTCCCTTTTCCACTTTCTGGCCGTGCATTTCTTTCGAAAAGAAGCTCTTAATATGCATTTAAAGGGAATTTATTTTATTTTTTTGCAGTTAATAAATATCTTTCCCCGGAGTTTTTGAGGGCTTTTGAAAAGAAAAAGATGAATTTAAATTCCGCAAAAAAGGGAATTTATTTCCGCATAAACTTTAAACAAATCTACTTCTCTAAAGTGCAGAAAAAGGACAAAATTTGCTTTTTTGCATGCAAAAATTCTATTTTTTAATTTTTAAAAAATATCTTACGGGCTGTTATTTCCTCCACGTGAGGAGCTCCTGCTGCAGCTGCAGCGTCGCCATGGGGCTCGTGGGGGGCCACTGTCTGCATGCGCGGCGGCTCATGAGTTGCTGCTGCTGCTGCTGCTGCATTTTCAGTGGCCTGCTGCTGCTGCTGCTGTTGCTGTTCTGCTGCAGCTGGTGCTTCTGCTGCTGCCCCTCCAGCTGACTGAGTGGCTGCGCTGGGGGCTGCGGCTTCAGTCTGCTGCTGCGGAGGTTGCTGCTGCTGCTGCTGCTGCTGCTGCTGCGGCTGCTCTGGCTTGGGTGCAGCAACAGTGGAAGCCTCTGTTGCAGAATGTTCTTCTGCTGTTGTCTCCGCCTCTCCGGCTCCCTCTGCTGCTTCCTCGGACTTGGACTCGGGGGCGCCTTCAGCAGCAGCTTGCTGCTGCTGCTGCTGCTGCTGTTGCGGCTGCTCAGCTGCTGCTTCGGAGGCCCCCTCCTGCTGCGAGCCCGACGCACTTGACTCCGGCTCTTCTGCGTTGCTGCTGCTCTCTGCTTCTGGCTCTGCGTCAGTTTGGCTGCGGGTTTGGAAGAAGGACCGGGAAGCTGTTTGCTGCTGCAGCGGGAGCAGCAACCGGCCCTCCGCCGCTGTGGACCAGTGGACCACTGCAGCAGCAGCAGCAGCAGCAGCGGAAAGCAGCAAAAAGCGCCGTTCAAATTTCATTTTGGCAGCCGAATTCCCCGGAGATCTCCCGCGGACGACTCGCCAGCCCCCGCGAAAAAGGAAGAAGGCGCGGGTCGGAAAGCGCGGGCAAAAGGGCTTTAACGCTGGTTTAAACACTAAAAGTCCTTATTAAAAATAAAAAAAGTTTAATTTAGTTTTTTTTTGAAAGTTTTACTGCATTTACACGCCACAAACAGCCAGCTTTCCGCCGCGCAGTCAACAAGCCCGGGTGTGCCGGCGGCCGACGACTGCTGCGGTGTAACTTCGATTTTCGTTCAAGTTCTTCAGCTTCGGCCGGCGCGCACTAAAGCAATTAAGTTTGCAAATTATTTAAAATTAAATAATTTTATTTCTTTCCTTATTGAGGGCTTCATTGGATCGCCGGTCTGCACAGACACCACTGGGCGCCAATGGCTTGGCCTTCTAGACAGACAGGCGAGGCTGGCGCCCATCGTGAAATCGCTTTTTTGCGGAAGATCTGCCTCTTCAAGAAACTTCTCCAAGTCAATATAATTGAAAAATACTTTATTCTTCATATTCGGCACAATTTGATTAAGTTTCCCGGCCCAAAGTGCAGCTTGGCCGAGGTTTCCACTTTCGTCCTCAGCTGTCTGTACACCTCGCCTGCTGTGCAGCCTCTGCAAATTTCACTTCAGCTTCAGTTCCATCTTTAGAATGAAATAGAAAGTTAAAAAGGCTAAGGCCTTCATTTCTTAGTTCTAGATAGGATATGAATCGAGAGGAGGTCATTTTCTGTCTCATTTTCTGAATACTGACGCTTGTGCGCAATGCACGGGATTTCGAATTAGTTATGAGCCTAGAAAGCAACCAAATGTAAATGCAACACTAAATCCGGAAATAAACCTATTTTCCTTTAGCAGATGATCAGTTAATGGAGCCAAAGAGTGAATTCAGTGCAAGTCGTAGCCAGACGCACCTTGCACTGTACGTACACTAGGAAGACCGCGCTTTGAGAGGTTGAGGGATTAAGAACAAATTCAGCCACATTTGATGAAAAAAAGAAATAACTAAAACAATAATATTCACTAAATATCCTTATGCAAGACTCGTGGCTGCGAATGGGCAGAGACGCGGCAAGAAAGGCTCAATGCGGATTTCCGTTGGGTTTCCACTTGCTGGGGTGTACAGACACTTGAGGTCTTGTCTTTGTGCGGTCATAAAACGAAAACATTTTGTGAGTTTCTGTGCTAAACAATTCAGGCAAATAATTTTGCAAATAAAACCGGGAAACACTTGAGCTAGCACAAAATCCAGAAGATTAAAAAGATTGAAGCATCAGGTCAAAAGCTCTTCTGTTTTTTTCTTAGTTGCTTTCTTTTCTGCCTTTTGTCCTGTCTCAGATTTCGCTTTATTTCGCCTCGCGCAGCAGCGGAAAAGCCTAAATTAAAAGTTTTAATTTAATTTTATTTGTCTTAGGATTTGTTTCGCCCTCCTTTCGGTTTTGTTTCGAGGACTCCGCTTGTGAAGAAATGCAAAAGGGCATGGGCAGCAAAGCTTTCACATTTTGTTTAATGATTTCAATTGATTTATGTTTCTGCTTCTCTCTCTGATTTTTGTCTTCAAAAAAAGAATAAAAACAATTCATTTAATGGGACTTTTTTACTGGACTTGAAGAACTCGATCCCTTCCAAATCCCCAACTTTGAGGGTTTCAGGTGTACATACACCTCAAGCGTCGCTTCTTTTGAGTAAAGTTTTAGATACACAAATGCAGTGAAGTCCCAAGGTGTACGTACACCCCGCGCAGAACACAAAACGCTCAGAACGAGGGCTTTCTATTTAGGCTCAAATATTTCAAAAGCACTTCTGTAATGTTTCCAGAGTTGTTCAGGACTTGTATTTAAGTACTTTAGATCTGTTTGCAAAGAAGCAAAAGGGTCTAGGGCCAGGGGCTCGGAGGAAAGTTCAGAATTCACGAAACTGAGCTTAGAATTAAAAATCTTCTTTTTAAAAGAAAACTTTCTGTTTTAGAGGCCTCAATTTGCTTTAAATAAGAAGACGCAACTTTTATTTTTCTGCGGCTCAGCAATTTGCAAGAAAAGGAATCCGCGCGCCTGCGCCAATTCAGGTGTACGTACACCTCGCCGCTTGTGCCCCGAAGGTCTTTTAACGAAACTGCCTTTAAAAGTCTCCTTCACTATTTATAGTGTATTACAATTAAGAAGAAATGCATATTTAAAATAATTAAAAAAGTAAAACTGCGAAATGCACTTTTAAGTCGGCTCTTCCGTGTCAGGGTGTTGCCGTAAAACTTGCAAATGGCAAGTGGGGGCCGGCGGGCCCAGGGGCGGAAGTATTTAAAGCAAATTGAACTTAAAAAAGAAAAACAAAATCAATTATAATTTGTTTAATTGGATTTATTAATATCTTGCCGAAGATTCAAAAGCTGCGGGCTGTGTGTCAGTAAGCCAAGCAGCGGCACGCCCAGGTGTACGTACACCCGAATGCAAAATTAAAAAAAGTGCCAAATCACACGGGAGACGCAGAGCGACAAAAATAAAAAACAGATTGTCACATGAATATATAAATAAATAAAAATAAAAATAAAATAAATGAATTAAAAGTAGAACTGCAGCAAGAGCTCAGATAGCTGCAGCAGCTTGGCGGCTTGCTGCGGGTCTTCGTCGCAGCTAAAAAGTGTTTTAGTTTTTAATTTGTTTTAAACAAGAAGAACTCAACGAAAGAATTGATTCAAAAGAACTGAATAGGTGGCCATTCTATTTATTAACACCTCCATTCTATTAGATTTCAAATATTCAAGTTTTGGAAAAAACTTGAATATTTGAATGGGCAAAAATCGGCGCTTGCGGCTGAGACAAAACTGAATAAAAACAAAAAATTAAAAAAGTGAAATAGAAAATTCAGAACTCGTTTCTTTCTGTCTCGTACGTTCCCCCAGCCCTGTCGAGGGGGCAATAAACCCCAAACCCCAAACCCCAAACCCTAGACCCTAAACCCTAAACCCTAAACCCTAGAGAAGGCGCCGAGCGGGCGTATCGCGGCCAGTTGGCTGCTGCTTCTGTTTCGGACTTTTGCGAGTTTTTTGTTTTGCTGCTTTTTCCGTGTGTCTGTTTCTGTGAGGCCTGTTGCTTTAAAACTTGGAGGACTTTTAAATAGATTTGAAATATAATTTAAGTTTTAAACTCAACTCTAAACCCTAGCCCCTCTAAACCCTAGCCCGCAGCCGCTGCCCCCGGGGCAAGTGCAAGGCCTTTAGCTGCAGCGCGAGTTTCAACTTGAGGTGATTTCTATCGTGGCAGTTGGGGCGCTGTTTCGTTCGCTGCAGCGCACTGCAGCAGCAGCAGCAGCAGCTGCTGCTGCTGCTGCTGCAGCATGCGTTAGAAAGAGGCGCAGGGAAAGCCGCGTCGGGGGAAGAAAGAAGAACTGGGCTGTTGGGAGCGGCGTGAGCGGGGGAGAGGGGGCGAGGGGTTTGCATGCGTTCGGGTGTACGTACAGGCGGGCAGCGTGGGTGCATGCGCTCGAAGTGGAGAAGTGGAAAAGAGGGAAAGGGAAGGAAAATGGAGTTGGGCTTGCGCGGCGGGGCGGGGCGGCGGGAAGACAGGCGGGAGGCGCGGCTGAGGCGTTTCTATTCGGGTAGGAGAAGCATTTAATTGGAAAAGTTTTGGAAAAGAAATAAAAAAGTGGAAAGGGAAGATCTATTCGGCGGCGGCGGCGCGAGGTGTCGGTACACCCCGTGCGTAGGCCGCACGGCGGCTTCCTGCGTGTGTTTCAGTTCGTTTCAGTGGCACTGATCTGCATTGTTTGTTTTGCGTTTTATTGTTCGGACTTGGCCTTTAAAATGGACTCATTTCGAAGAAACTGCTGCGCGAAAATGGCCTTTTGAATTTTTAAATAGCCCGCGCTTTCCGAAACTTGAACTCGGCGATTAGACATGCAACTCCCTGGAGCCAGCAGCACTTGTGGTGTACACACAGCACGAGACTGGATCGTTTGCAGAACTCGCGTCACTTTTGACATTTTCTTCTCATTTATATCTCTGGAGAAGCCCTTCTGCGCTTCCTGGCCCGGGTTCTTTCCGTCGCTGCTGCTGCTGCTGCTGCGCCTGCTGCTGCTGCTGCTTTCCACTGACTCGTGCTGCAGCTCCGCAAGCTGCTGCTGCCTTTAGCTCTTTTCAATTCCCACGGATCTTTCCTTTCTTCTTTCCAGTTGTCTCTCGGCCTTTTCGCAACTTGGAATCCCGCGGCCTCGCCCGGGCCGCCGCGGCGCGTGCTGCTGCTGCTGCTGCTGCTGCTGCTGCTGCTGCGCCTGCGCCTCCTGCTGCTGCTGCTCCCAGCTTTCCCCTGCGCCCCCCGCCTCCCCGCGTTCCTCCTGGCCCTCCGCCGCCTCGGCCCCAGCCGCTGCTGCTGCTGCCGCCCCGCCGCCGCTGCTGCTGCTGCTCCTCCGGCCCCGCTGCTGCTGCGCCGCCGCAGCTGCTGCTCCCCGGCCTCCTGCTGCTCCCGCGGGCCTCGCCCCCGCCCCACCAGCAGCCCCGCCTGCCCCGCTGCTGCTGCTGCTCTCCTGCTGCTGCAGCAGCAGCTGCTCCCCGCACTTCCGGCGCGCAGGATGCCCACAGCCGTTTGAGACAGGGCCGCTTCTAGGGTGCTCCGCCTTCCTGTCCCTCTTGCTGCTGCTGCTGCTTCCGCCGCTCCAGCCGCTGCTGCTGCTGCTCCTGCTGCTGCTCCTTCAACAGCAACGAAGCAACGAGCTTCCTGCTGCTGCAGCGTCCTCGCCGGACCGCCGCAGCACCTCCGACGGTGTACGTGCGTGCACCGCGCCGCGGCTCACCGCGCGCAGCAGCAGCAGCAGCAGCAGCAGCGCAGCAGCAGCAGCAGCAGCAGGGTCGCGGGCGGCCCAAGTAGCAGCAGCTGAGGGATTTGGAATTTTTTCCGTGGCTGTGGATCTGTGTGTCCGTTTTTGCTTCCTGCTTCTGTGGCTGCTGCTGCTGCTGCCGCGGGCGGGCTGCAGGTGGCCTTCGACTTGACGACCATTTTCTTCGCTGCAGCAGCAGCAGCGCAGCAGGAGCAGCGCAGCAGGAGCAGCGCAGCAGGAGCAGCGCAGCAGCATGTCCGACCCTCAGGGCGGGCCTGGGGGAGCGCCTGGGGGCGCCCCCCCGCAGCGCGGTGCGGGGGCTCCCTCGGTGCCCCCTGCGCAGCAGCAGCAGCAGCAGCAGGCCAGCAGCAGCAGCAGCAGCAGAGACAACAAGAGAAGCAGCAGCAGACAACCCCACAAGTCGTATGACATGGGCCAAGTGCTGGGCAACGGCTCCTTCGGAGTGGTGACTGAGGCGCGGTGTCTCGAGACTGGGGAGCTGGTGGCGATCAAGAAAGTGCTGCAGGTGCGCTGCTGCTGCTGCGTCTGCTGCTGCATTTGCTGCTGCCGCTGCTGCTGCGTTTGCTGCTGGTGCGTGCTCCGCGTGGCTGCTGCGTGTGCCTGCGCGCCGTGGCTGCGGGGCGCGGCGCCGCGGCTCGGCCTCCGCAGCCCCCGCCTCCGCAGCAGCAGCAGCAGCAGCAGCAGCAGCAGCAGCAGCAGCAGCAGGGGCGTGTGCGCGCAGGACCCGCGGTACAAGAACCGGGAGCTGGACATAATGAAGGAGCTGCACCACCCCAACATCGTGCGGCTGCTGGACTACTTCTACACGGAGGTGGAGGAGGACAGCAGCAGCAGCAGCAGCAGCAGCAGCAGCAGCAGGTTCCTGAACGTGGTGATGGAGTTCGTGCCCGAGACCGTCTACCGCGTCATGAAGACCTTCGTGCGCAGCAGCAACTCCCTCCCCTTCATCCTCGTCAAGCTCTACACTTACCAGATCTGCAGGTCTCTGGGCTACTTGCATGCGCTGGGCATTTGCCACCGAGACGTGAAGCCCCAAAACCTGCTCGTGGACTACCGCACGCACGTGCTCAAGCTCTGCGACTTCGGCTCCGCCAAGAGGCTCGTCCCAGGTGGCTCCTGCTGCTGCTGCTGCTGCTGCTCCTGCTCCTGCTGCTGCTGCTGCTGCTGCTGCTGCTGCTGCTGCTGCTGCTGCTCCTGCTGCTGCTGCTGCTGCTGCTGCTGCTGCGGGGGGGTGTTTGGAGGGGAGGGGAGGCGCGGTTTGGCGCGGCGGTTGGTTTCTCGTTTGGAGCGCTTCGTTGGCTTTTTTCTGAATTCCTCGAGGCCGGGAGTTGCTCGTTGGCCTGGTTGTCGATTTCTTGTTTTGTTTGTTCGTTTTGTTGTTTGCACTTTGTTTCTTTGTTTCTTTTTTGCATTTTGCTTCTTCGTTTCTTTTTTTGGCCGTTTGCTGCAGGGGAACAAAGCGTGGCTTACATTTGCTCGCGCTTCTACAGAGCGCCCGAGCTGATGCTGGGCGCAAATGAATACACCACAGCAATTGACATTTGGTCTCTAGGCAAGTTTCTGCATTTCCCCTCCTCTAGGGTTTAGGGTTTAGGGCTTAGGCTTTAGGGTTCAGCTGCAGCGGCTGCAGCAGCAGTCGAGCGGCGCAGCAGCACAGGTGGCAGCAGCTGCTCCCTGCCTGCGCAGCGAATTGTGGAACCCGGCGGGTTGCTTGGTTTCCCGGGACTTTTTAACGGGCTGGAGCACTGCAGCTGCAGCTGCTGCTGCTGCTGCTGCTGCTACTGCTGCAGGGTGCGTGTTGGGGGAGCTGCTGCTGGGGCGTCCGCTGTTTGCGGGGGAAACGAGTGTGGATCAGTTGGTGAAGATAATTCAGATTTTGGGAACTCCAACTCAAGGCCAAATGTCGGCGATGAATCCCAACTACGACGAGTTCAAGTTTCCCGACGTCGAGGCGCGCGACTGGCACTCCGTGAGCCGCGATCTTCAGCTTTTTCCCGGGCTTTTTCCCGAAACTTTCCTTAAATTTAATTCCTTTTTGCTTCTTTTCACCTTTTAAATCCATTTAAGTCCAGAGGGAGGCCCCGCCTTCGCGGGTCGCCCCCGTTCAACTTGGGCTGCACCACGCGGCCTGGCGGGGCTGCGAGAAGGGATTTTGCTGCTAGTGAATGGATTCGAGTGAGCGGCAGCAGCAGCAGCAGCAACAGCAGCAACAGCAGCAGCAGCAGGAGCAGCCAGATAAGACGTTTCAAGCTGTTCAGGAGATGCAGGCCACTGGGAGCTGTGTTCAGCGGCAGCAGCAGCAACTGGATGCAGTGTTTGTCGTTTCGTGATTAAGTGAACAATAATTCACTAATAATTTGTTCATTTCGACGAATAAATGAATAATAACTGAAGGAAAAGTGAAAAAGAGAAGTAAATTATAAGATAAGGGGTGGATCGTGGGGGCCGGCGTGTCGCAGTGCTGCGGAAGCAGAACAGCTCTTCTTTTCCCGTTTTTTTTGCTTTGAAGGAGTAAAATGGAAAAGTAAATAATAAAAAAGAATAAATGCGCAGAAATGAACCGAAAAGGAGCGCGAAAGCTGCGTTGGTTCAGGTTTTCGCCGCGCACCAGTGCGCCAACGACGGCGACAAGTCCTTCGAACAAGCTGTTGACCTCATGAGCAAACTGCTGCGCTACGAGCCCAACCAGCGCCTGCAGCCTTTGGAGGCCCTCGCCCACGAGTTCTTCGACGAACTCAGAAACCCCAAAACCACGTAAGTCCAGCAGCAGCAGCAGCAGCAGCAGCAGCAGCAGCAGCAGCAGTTGGTGCTGCAGTTGCAGCAGCAGCGGCAGTTGGTGCTGCAGTTGCAGCAGCAGCGGCAGTTGGTGCTGCAGTTGCAGCAGCAGCTGCAGTTGGTGCTGCAGTTGCAGCAGCAGCTGCAGTTGGTGCTGCAGTTGCAGCAGCAGCTGCAGTTGGTGCTTCAGCAGCAGCAGCAGTTGGTGCTGCAGTTGCAACAGCTGCGGCAACAGTTGCAACAACAAGTGCAGCAATAGCTGCAGCAGCAGCAGCAGCAGCAGGGATTTAGTTTGTTCTGTGTTTGTTTGCAAGTCTGTGTTTTGCGTATTGTCTGGGCGCTTGCTGCTGCGGGTGCCGTGGTGTGTGGGGTGTATGTACACTCGGGGGGAACGTGGGGCTGCGGGTGTTTGGGTGTGCTGCGTTTGCTGCTGCGTCGCCTAAGCTGGTGCCGCTGCTGCTGCTGCTGCTGCTGCGGTGCAGACTGCCGGGGGGTGGCGCGCTGCCGGAGCTGTTTAGTTTTTTGCCAATTGAACTCGAAAGCATGTCTCCAGGGACGAGGGAAAAGTGTTTAGCAGCAGCAGCAACGAAGCAGCGGCCGGCGTAGCTGTGCGTTCGGGTGTACGTACACCTCAGGGGCTGCCTGCTGCGGGGCAGCACTGCATCATTTGCGTTTCATTTTATTTGTTCCGCCGCGCCCTCCGAGGCGTTCGCTGGAAACGAAGCAAGGGAGCCGCACTGGCCTTGCTGCTGCAGCAGCAGCAGCTGCAGCAGCAGCAGCAGCTGCTGCTGCAGCGGCAGCGGCAGCGGCAGCAGCGGCAGCAGTCGCTGCAGCAGCAGCGGCGGCGGCAGCAGGAGCAGCAGCAGCAGCAGCTGCCGCTGCGGGGGAGTCGAGGGCGTTGTAATCCTTGTCAAAACGGAAAGTTGAATTAATTAATTACCTTTGAAAGATGGAAAGTTTGCTGCTGCCCTGGGGTTGGGAGGTTCAGGGCTGCTGCGCTGCGCCGTGGGAGCTCTGCAAGGCCGCAGGCATTTATGCATTTATAAATGTATTTATGTGCAAAACCCTGGAAAGTAAAAGAAAAATAAAAGTAAATATATATATATGTTCACAGATTCGCCGCTGACTGGTTTGCACGCGGTCCATACACCGCAGCGTTCGGATCCGGAAGTGGTTTGCGGGCGGCAGCTGTCGAGACACCCGAGGAGGAACTTGAATGTTCCAAAACGAAAACGAAAATGCAAGTAAATATCATTTATAAATGTGTAAAGCAACATATGTGAGGCATTTGATCGGTGGTCGCCGCTCTTGTTCAGTTCAGGTGCTGCTGCAGCGCAGCAGCAGCTGCTGCAGCGCCGCTGCAGCAGCTGCTGCGGCGCCGCTGCAGCAGCAGCAGCGCTGCTGCCGCCGCAGCAGCAGCGCCCGCTGCTGCCGCCGCGGCAGCAGCAGCAGCAGCGAGACTCTCCACTTCAAGGGAATGCTGCGCCGCAAGGGAGGCCTCAAAAAGGTTTAAGTTGCTGCAAATGGTATTTCTTTTGTCCTTTGTCCTTTTGGTCTTGTGCTTCGCGCTGCTGCTTTTTGCTGCGTCGGGGCCCGAGGGAGGTTTGCTGTTTTCAAACGGCCAAGGTATCGACTTTACGGAGCGGAAGCACTGCAGCAGCAGCAGCCGCTGCGCCGCTGCTGCTCTCCCGCTGCTGCTGCAGCAGCAGCAGCAGCAGCAGCAGCGGCTCGCTGTTCTGTAACGACTCGCGCCACAGCGGGAATTCAGCTTGCGGCTAAGGAAAACCAACTCAAATCTTTACATTTTAGTGGCCTTCAAACACACGGCTAGCTAGCTAGCTAGCTAGCTAGCCAGCTAGCCAGCTAGCTAACCAGCCAGCTAGCTAGTTTGCCTCCACCACCTAGCAGCTTGCGTTGAGGGACAAAACTTTACGAATTTGCTGCTGCTGCTGCTGCTGCGGGCTGCCGCAGAAGCAGCAGCTGCAGCAGCTGCTGCTGGGTTAAAGATACGTGCAAAGGGAAGCAAGAAACTGGGAAGTCCTTGTCTCGTTATTTTCGTCGATTGCAGCCGCAAGGGCAGCAGCTGCAGCAGCAGCAGCCGCAGCAGCAGCAGCAGCAGCAGTTGCTGCTGCTGCTGCTGCTGCTGGGTAAAAGATAGTGCAGAGGGAGGAGCCGGGAAGTTGTTGTCTTGTTATTTCCGTCTCGGCCGTCTGTACAGCCGAGCAGCAACAGCAGCAACAGCAGCAATCAGCAGCAGCACCAGCAGCCACCACCAGTTGGCAGCTGAGGCCCGAAGTTTAGCAGCAAATTAAAAATTCAGCAGCAGCTAATTTGCTGCTGCTGATCTTTTGCTGCTGCTGCGGCGCTGCAGCAAAAGCCCCGTACCTGGGCGGACTACAGTGCACAAGTGGCGCTGGAAACCTGCAGCAGCAAAAAGATACAAAATTCATGAAGCAGCAGCAGCAGCAGCAGCAGCAAGAAAGGCAACAAAAGCACGAATTGCAGCAGCAAGTGCGGCCGCAAAAAGAATAATATTAGTGGCATTGATGGCATTAATACCACTTGGAGCAGCAGTTAGGTGGTGAGGACAGCTGCAACAACAGCAGCAGCAACAGCAGCAGCAGCAGCAGCTTTCCTCACCGAGCTCGCAGGCGTTTGGCGTGAGTCTGCAGCAGCAGCAGCAGCAGCAGCGAGGGGGGCGCAGCAAAAGGGATTTTGCAGCAAAGTAACTTGAAGAAGGGCGGAGTTGCTTGGGAACTCACAAGTTGAGCTGCAGCAGCAAAAAGGAAAGAAATAAAACTTTGTTTTGCTGCTGCTGCTGCTGCTGCTGGTTCTGCTGCTCACCTGCTCCTGGACAATGGACCCTGAGTGGTCCACTGGACTCGGGAAATTGGAAAAGAAGAAAAAGAAAATCCTTACCTGGCAAGAAGCTGCTGCTGCTGCAGCGCTGCTGCCTGCAGCTGCTCCAGCAGCTGCAGCCTTCCCCGCAGACTGCTGCAGCAAGGTCTTCGCAAAGCGGGTGGCCTGGTCCACTGAGTGGTCCACTGGTCACTGCAGCAGCAAAGTCTGCAGCTCTCACCGCCCACGCTGCTGAGGCCTGCAGAGCAGCTCACGCGCCCAGGGCCCTCTCCCGCGCAGCCTGCAGCTGGCGGCTTGGCTTTGCATGCAGCAGCAGCAGCAGCAGCAGCATACCCGCAGTGAACGCCTCCGCCTGCAGCAGCAGCAGCAGCAGCAGCAGCAGCAAATGCACTTTGGCAAATGCGTGCAAATGGCAAACGAAAGAACCTCAGTGTCCGCTATGAGACGCAGCCCCGGAAAAGCAGCTTCAGATCCACAAGTGCCGTCGCAGTCCTGCGGGCGCGCTGGGAGGAGCCGCAGCAAAAGTGACTTCTTGAATTTGCACTCACTGACAAGCAGGAGTCGCCTGGAGGGAATCCAGGGTTTCCCGGGGGCGCAGACGCGAAATTAAATCAAAAAAATGCAAATTGAGCCAATTCAGAACAGGATCGCCCACCGATGTGCACAGATCCTGGCTCTAATGTTGTACAAGGCACCAGAGGCTTCGGCGGACCCTCTGCCGCCGCCTCCACCTTTGGCCCGCCAGGGCTGGCCTTATCCATGTTTTCCGACGCCAAAAGCAACTTAAGAGTTAATTCAATTGCTGCAGGAAAAAGTGCCGTTCGTTTAGATAAAGAAATGGCGGAGAAATGCAACAATTGCAAAAACTGCACTCTACGGTGTCTGCGCATACACCTCAGATGCGTCGGTGCCGGGTCGCGCGCCGCAGCTTCACTTTCGTTTCTTTTCATGTTTCTTGTCTTAAAACGCCGCTTAAGAACTACTAACTGCTTCAGCTTCTCAGTTGCAGTGTTTTCAATTATAAATTCAAAATCTGAGGTTTCTGTGCAACAATAAAAAATGAAGCGGCTGCACACCCGCGAAGTTTCTGAATTCCTAAAGTGGGTCGGCCTGCTGCAGCAGGCCCCCCCAACTCTACAAAGATTGGCCAAGAAAAGCTGCATTAAGAATTTGCCAGCAGCTGCGGTGCTTAATTAGCTTCAAATTCGGAAGAAATTCCCAAAATCAGGGTTTCGGCGAAGGTTCAAGTTTTGCTGCTGCTGCTGCTGCTGCTGCCTTCCCGCGCCTCTTCTGCGCGCGCCGACGAGCGTCAAGAAACCACATGTATTCCTCGTAGCTTTGCGGATAAACTTGAAGATCTTCGGGAGGCAACTCGCGCAGTCTTTCACTCTGCAAGAAGCAACCGAAGCAGCAGCAGCACAGCAGCTGCAGCGCAGCAGCAGCCTCAACGCCGTGGCTGCAGCGCAGCAGCAGCCGGCCTCTGCTGCAGCGGCGCGGCACCGCGGAGCAGCAAAGAAGGGGAAAAACGCTGCGGGAACTCTCAGCAGCAGCAGCAGCAGCAGCAGCACAGAGCCGCACCTGTCTGTAGTAGAAGATCATCCGGTTGGTCCTTTTCAGCGGCAAGCCCACGGAGCTGCTTGAGGCCTCAACCTGGAGGAAAGCACCAAATGAAAAAAGATGAAATGAAAAGATTCGAGAAGTTCAGCTAGGGTTTAGCCCTAGGGTTTCGAAACCCTAAACTAGGGTTTAGGGTTTAGCCACCTGGATCTGAATTTCGTCTTTGTCGCTCCAAACCACGCTCGCCGTCAGCTTCAAAATGTCTCCTTGCTTCACAGCGTCAAAGAAACGGATGTCTTCCATTCCTGCAGCAGCAGCAGCAGCAACAGCAGCAGCAACAACAGCGGCAGCAGCAGCAACAACAGCGGCAGCAGCAGTAGCAGCAACAGCAGCAGGGGAAGGAAAAGGCTTTTGAACTGAAGAAGGCCAAGAGAGCCACCTTGCAATATAATCGAAAAGTTCAATTATTAAACAAAATTAAATTGAATCAAATTAAACAATTAAAATTCCATTTAAACATTTAAAACATTTAAACCCTTTCAAGCAAAACTTCATTTCCCCAAATGCTGCAGGGCCTCAAATGAGCTAAAGCGACACAAAGATGCATGCACACAAGCACCAGGGCCCAAACTCTAAACCCTAAACCCTAAACCCTAAACCCTAAACCCCATCCCTAAACCGTAAACCCCAAACCCTACCCCCCCACCCCAACCCCACCCCAACCCCAAACCCTAAACCCTAAACCCTAAACCCTAAACCCTAAACCCTACCCGCGATGACGGGGTAGCTGGCGTTGAGGAACCTCTGCGCAGTCAGGAAAGAAAGCTCCAACGCCGAGCGCATTATATAACCCCCGAAGGCCCTCCCGTAAACACTGATGGTTTCTGGCTGCATCAAAATGTTGCTTTCCAGCTTCGTGTCTTTAATCCAACAAGTATCTTTCCTGCCTCCGGGGGCCCCTGGGGCCCCCGGGGGCCCCCCCCGGGGGGCCCCCGCGGGGCCCCCCAGGGGGCCCCCCAGGGGGGCCCCCGCGGAGGGGGGGCCCCCCTGGGGGGCCCCCCGGGGGGCCCCCCGGGGGGCCC